AACTCTGTTGCTTTACTTATGAGGGAACTGAGGCCCAGGGAAATTGTGACTTGTTCATTGACAACCTTTGATTGTTAGGTTTCATAAATAATGATGATGATGATATCACTGATGACAACAGACGCCTGGCAAGGCCATGACTTGTCCATTGGCAACACATCATTAAGGTTCATTGACAACAACAACAACAATAATAATTAAATAAGGACAATAATGACAATAAATGGCAATTAAATTGTGAGTGACTTTATCAAGTGCTTCACTGAAATCCAGGTTTATATTGTCTACAGCACCTCCTTGGCTAATAAATTTTCTTCTAATTCTAATGCTCTCAGATTCTATGACTATGTAAGACTATAAGGTATCACCAGTATGCTTTGTCTAAGGCTTTAACACAGAATATTTATTTTTAGTTGAATCTGTTTTTGTGAGTACCACTACTGCCTTATGCTGCATTGTATTTACATTTTTTCCCCTCAAAGTCATTTCACATTTATAAATTTGTACGATCCTCCAAACAGCCTCACAAACTAGAGGTTGGTGGATATGATTTCCCCAATTTTATAGTTAAGGAAACAGGAGCAAAAATGTCAAGTGATTTGACCAAGGCCACATAGCTAGTCAGTAGAAGTTCTGGGACTAGAACCCTGGTTTCTTGACTCTTAGGTCCAGTTCTCTTTCCTTAAGAAAAGATACTACCCCACTCATAGCTGACATCAAAACAAGACTATCCTTTTCTTGGAAATAGCAAATCAGCCACAGGACATGTTTGGAGGTACCCAAAAATACCTTCCCAAGTAGCCTCGCTCGAAGAGTCTAAAGTCCCCACCTTCCTCTGTCCTCTGGGCTAAGGCAATGAAGAACAGTGACAAAATCCAAGATTATTATTTTGAAAGGCTGATACTTAAACTATTGCCATCTAGGAACCCCTCATTATGGATCAGAGTCTCTGATTTACCTGGGAAAAGAACAAGATCTTAAAGTACTGAGATTTGGAACAGATAAGTTTTGATGGGGAAGAGACATAGAAACCTGGGGCATGTGGAACTGTGTAGGAGAGCAAGGCCAAATAGTCATTCCAGAGCTTGGGGAAATCCTAGGCAATAGCAGGTTGGTTATTGGATCTTGAGAAACAGAGCACTATTACTGTCTTTTATATTCTATCTCCTTTTCAAAGGGAATTATCCCAAGTCATTTACTTCCCCTATTTTCCCATTTGTCTTAGAGGTAGACCTGCTTACCAGAACACAACATAACTTGTCTCAAATTTACTGTGCTCTAACACAATTTTAAACCAGGGTTTCTTTTAATACCTTGGTCTGAAGATAAGAAAACCTTAAGACACATTTTGCTGTGGCAGAGGAAGGAGATAGAAAGGGTAGAAGGAACCTGATAGCAAAACAACAACAAAAACAATCACAACAACCCCCCTTCCCCCACAGTACCCCCCCAAAAAAAAAAAAAATCATCACTGTGTTATAGCTCTCTCCCCATTCACTTTCCTTACAGAATGGCCTGAAATATCCACAAAAGTTACCTCAGATCAACAAAAGAAGAAAGCGGGATTTGTTCTGTGAAGTTTGGATTCAGTCAAAGGGCCACACTTGAGCATCTGAAGGGCCCCATGTGGCCTCAAGGCCAGGTTCCCCACCCCTGGACTAGGATATCTTATCATTGGTGAGAATTTGAAACTTCCCTAGAGTCTGTGTGATTTATCAACTAGGAGATAAAAGCTTTTCATTTACCTTAAAATAAAATTATCTGGGAGTCATCCCATCCTAACCACCACTCGCTAAAGGAAGGTGTGCCTGGGAGCTCATTCAGCCACAGGTTATAGGCATTTCATTGACTCAGGTGAGTATGAGATTGGTGAAGTGGTCTGTTTCAAGTCCTAGAAGCTTGGGTAACGGCAGGGATATTTATCACAGAGTTTCATTCCCATTGAAGAGTAAAAAGTAAATGTTCTTCAACATTGGCAGAGGCTCTGACTCTGAAAGAAAAACCTCGATAAATGTAACTCTGAGATTAAAAAAAAAGCAATGGATGCAAGAGATTCATATTGGCTTCAAAGCATCAGCATAAATAACTGTTTGTGTATGGGGGGGAGGGCATTTTAAAAAAATATACCATAGCAGGATCATTTAAACTATGATAAAAACCAAGCATTTGAACACCCCGAATTATCCTTAAGCTTTTCAAAGTCAGAGCTTAAAGCTAGCTGGTGACTCATAATGTTCCACAGTAACTAATGGTAAGTGCTAAAATCAGTTTGTGCAAAACTGTCTTGCTAAAAGTACCATCATTTTTTCCCCCTGTAGGATGATTTTAGTGCTGGTAAAGGATTTATTCTAATAGGCAGGGGAAGGGGAAATCTGATTTTCTTCATTTATCTCATAGTCAGAAATAGCCTGGAAGGCACTAGCACGCTTTGCCTTTCCCTACACGGATCATCTCTGACCCCAAGTAATGCTACTTCCCTGAATGTTTGAGGCTGCTCATATATCTATACACACATATGCATATATAATCTCTACATGTTTATATAGTACATTCGCATTTATAAACACATACATATATACATATACATAAGTAAATACAAACACACACATATGTCCATATATACACATGTATAGATACACAATGTATGTAATACACACATAGTATATACAGATACACATAATGTGTATATGTACATATATATACACATATGTGTATATGTACATATATACACATATGTGTATACGCACATATATGGAAGAGGGGAAAGAGGGAGATCGTTGATGTTTTTTCTATCTATACGAGAAACACTGGGTATGGAATTTCCCTCCCCCGATTAGATCCGTCTCACTCATTTTAAGTTACAATCTTAGAGTAGTAGTTCCCCATTTTTTTGGTCTCAGGACTCCTTTACACTTTTAAAAATTATTAAGGATGCCCTCCCCCACCACCTAAGAGCTTTTGTTCATGTGTGTTATATATATCAATATTTGCCATATTAGAAATTGACATGTCTTAGTATTATTATGAAAATAGACCCCCTAAAAGGGTCTAGGTTGGGAGTGGGGGAGTATTCCACACTTGGAGAACTGGCTCTTTTAGAGAATTGCTGGGGTACTGAGAAGTTAAGTGATTTGTTCACACTCATCCAACCAGTGTTATATCCGAGGCACGACTTTCAGTCTCCTCCTGACACCAAGGCTGACCTTCAATAGAAGGTCATAGGAACCATAGGCCCTCTCTGGGATTCAGTAAAGTAGGATAGGATTACAAAATTATAGATTTTGAGCTGGAAGGAACCGCAGATGTTGTCTACTTTAACACCTTCATTTCCTAAACAAGGAAACAAACTGAGGCCCAGACAGGTTACATGACTTTTCCGTTGACAGATGGGAAGTGGCAGAGCTAGGATTTGAACCCAGGTCTCTGATTCCAAATGTCACAACTAGAAAGGACCTCAGAACATAGAACACAGAATGTCAGGGGACACTGAAGAGGACAGAGAGCAAAAAAATGTCCCAGCAGAAGAGAGTGCTAAAGATATTTGATCTACTGTCCTCATTTAATATATTTAATCTACTGAGATGCAGAGGATGAAAGAACTCAGTCAGAATCCCATAGAGATAATGTGAGGTGGCATTTGAGCTTCGGTCTATGACTCAGTCCAGTATTCTCTGCACTCGGCTCCCTTCCCCTCCCCTCCCCAGCATGCTCATTTTGGTATGATGGTTCCTAAGTGAGCTTATAAATCAAAGTGCTGACTAGATGATCACTTGAGGCCAAAGTTGATGTTACTCATGCTTCAAGGAGTTCAAGTCATGTGTCCCGTTGAACTAGAAAAGAATACTGGCTGTGGAGTCAAAAAAGGAGTGCTGAGGAGTTGGGAGTTACCACTTTGCCACCTGTGTACACTTATATGTGTTCCTCAGCACCACAGACTCTTTGAGCCCACCCTTTCCATGAACTTGTACATACTCACGAGAGAACTCAGACTTCGGCCAAGGACTCTTTCGTATCAACTGTTCTTACTATAGCACATTACTAAATATCTTTTCTAGAAGCCAATTGTGACTAGTGGCTGATAATCAATAGGAAGCACAGGAACAGGGGCTCATAAGACACTATTCCAGAAGCCTCAGGCTCTTAGGGCTGTCTCTAGAATGGGTGAAGCATGGGGATGAGGAGAGAACTGTTCATCATTCTCTAGGGATCTTGCCTGCCAATGGAACTGGTAGTTGGGATTTAGACTTGGAGCAGATGCTCTAAAATACACATCTGCTTTCTCTCCCAATAGAACGTAAGCTACCTGTGTGCAGGGAACAACCGTTTCATTGTTATCTTTGTATCCAGTGCCTAGTCTGGTGCTTGGCACACAATAGATTTTTAATGAGTGATTGTTGGTTTATTGATTGATTGATTGGAGCTGGAAGGTACCTTCATTTAGATAATGAAAACGAAGAAAGGTTAAGAAACCAACTCAACATCACAAAGGTATTCACAGCAAAGGTCATATCTGAAGTCAAGTCTTTGACTCTAGTTCCAGTGCTCTTTTAATCGTACTATGATTCCCCTCATTACACCCTACCCTGCTCTATATCAGTTGAAAGTTGAACCACCCTTCATGGTTTTATATAGATAAAGATGAACAGGACCTTAAACATCATGTCATCCAACCCATCTCACTGTATAGAAGAGGAAACTAAAGTTCAGAGATAGTTATTTGAATTGTCCAAGGTCACATACAGAGTAAAATCCCAGGTTGGATGACCCCAGAACAAAGGTTTTTCCCATTATGCCAAACTATCTCGTAGTACTTCCTCATTTTACACACATGACCCAGGAAATGTTGCCTGGTCCCTTGGTACTGCAGAGATTTCCCTGGCTTTCCTTAATGAGATAGTCCAATCCCATCAATTCCTAAATTTCCCATTTTTTCTGTTTCTTCCTTTCCATTTAAAAGTGCACAGAAGGATCACACCATTTTAGTCAACAAGATCCCTTACCTAAGACTCTTAATCTTTCTGCTCCAACCACCACTTCATTGTCATCTGCAGAAAACAACAATTTTCCATCGACGGTTTTCACCTCAAATTTTTTGCCATAAGCTTCCACTGCTTTGGGACCTAGATTGGGCGTGGGAAGTGGAAAGAGAAGAAAAAGAAATTATGATTATAAATCAATTAAACTTGTCTTTTCATTAAAAAGAAAAAAAATCAAGATAATATCTGGGAAGCTAACATGAGTTCCATCAAACAATGATTTTCACAAGCCATACAAAAAGCTATTTACAGTATTTTATAGTCATACCTTATATGTCAGAATAAAAATCTATGTCCAGATGTAAGCTAATTCCCAGAATATTAAATATTGAACTTGGTTACTGGGGGAAGTTATATAAACCTCCTCCTAGACTCTTTAAAAACAATATAGATTTTTCTCTTCAGTTGTTTTGCATGTAGTATGGCCTGGAAATGGGGTGATGGACAAAACCACCATTTAAGATTTTCTCTAAGCCTAAAATTCTCTGATTGAGTCCAGGGACTGAAAGTCAGGCATTTTAGGAATCTTTTTTCACTCTTTCAGGTCATGCAAATCCCTTAAAGTCCTGGAGTGGAGATACATTGGGATAGATACCTCAACTTCCTTGACAGAGTTAGTTCAGGGCCTACCTACGTGGACAGCATTCAAAACCTGGGAATTACTTGGCTACTCAGGGAATTTACTGTGATTTCCTGTTACCTGAAGCCAAGATCTATTTTGTCCAAAAGACCAACTCTGCATAGATGAATGAAGGGCTTCTGTTAGAGGGTTTCTTCCATACAATCAGCTCAATTTGCATACTTGGCCTCTTTGTCCAATAAGAAATCAAAACAAGTCTTTCACTGTATGGTTTGGGTCACTTAAGATCAGGGCCAACTACCAGAGCAAAGAGGAAATAGCATAGAAATGGAAAAAAAGAAAAATCACAGTTTTACTGGTAAAATGGGCCTTAGACCTATGCCTTAAGTATAAAAGAGGGGCAAGGCGAAGCCCAGAGAGGGAGACTAAGTTGCCAAAGGTAACAGAATGAATTAGTGATAGAGCAACACCCATAATCTAGGGATCTGGATTCCCAGTCTGAATACACATTCCACTAAACCACATTTCTATCTATATAGAAACAGTGACATAGGGGCAGCTAGGCAGAGCAGTAGATACAGCACTGGCCCTGAAGTCAGGAGGACCTGAGTTCAAATGTGGCCTCAGACCAAACACTTGACACTTACTAACTCTGTGACCCTGGGCAAGTCACTTAACCCCAATTACCTAAAAAAAAAAAAAAAAGAAAAGGGCAGCTAGGTGGCGCAGTGGACAGAGCACTGGCCCTGAAGTCAGGAGGACCTGAGTTCAAATGTGGCTTCAGACCAAACACTTGACACTTACTAGCTCTGTGACCCTGGACAAGTCACTTAACCTCAATTGCCTAAAAAAAATAAAAATAAAAAAAATAGAAACAGTGGCATAGACTTAAACCTCCAGGTCTCAAAGAAAACTGTAATGGCTTTCTCTGACCTTCCACTCCCATCCCCATTTCCCCCTAAACAGACACACATACTGCCTAGGTACCCTGGAGTTGCATGTTGCCTTTGCAAGAGCTTTATGGGTAGGAGGAATTTAATACTGTGTTCCTCCCCCTCCCCCATACCTATTTAATTCAGGAGGCAAAAGGCTGGTCCCAGACTAGCCCAAAGAACAAGTGAAATCCCTGAGGAGCATAAGGCCTTTGAGCTAACTCTGAACCCAAAGTGTTGCCTGAGAGTCGCAGAGGAGAAGACCCCTAGATGACTTCACTGAACTCAGAGCGCACGACACAGCGCAGTTATCTTCCTTTTAAGGGCTGCCCAGAGCACACAGTGGGATTTACTGAGGGCCAGCACTATCTGGGTGTTTAAAGCTCAGCACTTGGCAGCATTGGCTGAAACCGGGCAGTCTGGCTCAATAATATGGAAGGCTTGTCCTTTTGTCTGCTTCACTCACAGCTGCCAAACTTCCCCAGTTGATCCAGACATGGCTGGAATTTTACAGATGGAATCTAGAGGGAAAGGCAAGAAAAATGGAAGAATGCCCAGGAGAAAGAACATTCTCTGGGTTAACTTCAAGTCTAAGTCCCACTTTGGGACTAGAAAATCAGTATTCTAAAGTGGCAGGTAAAGTTGGCCACGTAGGCATGCCTCCAACCCTGAAAGGCTCCCTACTAAGCATCAGAATGAGTATCTCATCAAGAAAGAAAGTGGAATCCTGATCTGCAGGCCTCAACTTGTCAACACTCGACTTAAAAAGGGCCTATACATGTGGAAAACAGCTTCCCACACCCATGCCCCTACCACCAGCACCACCTACTACATAGTTGGCATCTTGAGCCCCTTCCCTAAGGAAATCTCCCTTAGTATTTGGTAGGATTCCAGGCTTTAAGCTACTATAAATATCATATTTTAGTTATATTCTGAGTTAAAATTTGTCATTTTGGGCTAGTCTGACAACTTATTTGTTATTCATAACACTATGGGGAAAATACACGTTTCCAAGTTCTGAATAATTGATTTGCACAACGCATCTGTAGTTTGGGCACTATCAACGTTCTGCCTGCCTGCCAGGTCTGATCTCTCTCTTCAGAAGAAGGCAGTGATTTGATAGCCTAGGCTAGGCTCACCAAGTTTGAAAGTTTGGAAAGCCTACTGGGGTGTTCTAGTTCAAGTGATTGATAACCTTTTCATCTCACAGGAGGAAAAAGTGGCCCTGAAAGGGAAGGTGACTTGCGTAAGGCACACAAGAAGTAGTTTGCAGAAGCAGGATTTGATTCCAGAACCTCTGACTCCAGAAACTCTGATTCTAAATCCAGTGCTGTTACTATGACACTGTCTCAGAAAAGAGAGGATCTTATAACAAGAAGAAGTCATAGAGATTAACTATGAGGAACCTCTGGCCTGCTATCTGTGTGCACTGCCTAGTAGAGGAGGAAACTGTGGTTAGATTGGAGGCTTGGCTTTTGCTCATTTATTTGTTTTCATCCAGAGCCAAATCAGGATCCTATCCATCAGCTTTCTCAGAACACAACTAGAAAAGTTCATATTGGAGTTGGGTGTTTTGGCCAACAAGCATCTTGCGAGGCTCATCTGAATCTTAGCAATCTCTAACTTCCACCCTCACCTGGAGGGGTGCTACGGTGAAAGAAAGTGAGAAAGAGAGAGAGAGAGAGAGAGAGAGAGAGAGAGAGAGAGAGAGAGAGAGAGAGAGAGAGAGAGAGAGAGAGAGACAGAGAGACAGAGAGAGACAGAGAGACAGAGAGAGACAGAGAGACAGAGAGAGACAGAGAGAGGGAGAGAGAGGTAGAGGTGGCTCTGGCTGAACTCCAGAGTGGTTGGGCAGATCCAGCTTTATCAAAGCTAGCTCACTCAAGGAAACCAAATATTCCATTGCAAATAAGTGGCAAATGATCAACAGACTAAACAGCTTCTTTTCAAATGTGGGAATCTGGGAGCTCGTGGTTGTATTTATTTCTCTCCTTGCAGCAGTTTTCACACACACGCTTAAATCACTGCTTACTGAAGCTGTTTATTTAATTATTTAGCATTGTGACTGCCAGCCAGATGTTATATAAGCGAGGCTGACAATCCAATGTAACACAGAAACAACATGTTTATGGATTACAGGCTCTGCCATTCAGCAATTCTGCCAGTCCCTCAGTCCCTCAGTTTGTGGAGGGTGTAAGCATTTCACATACTCCATCCTTTAAAACACCCTCCAAACCAGCTGCAGGCAGTGAGTTTCCCAAACTTTAGCCCCAACTACAAAATGATGGATGGAAATGGATTTTTCTTCCAATGGTTGAAGGGCATCTGGCCAACGAAAGACAACTGCTTCCCTATACCTTGGGTAAATTTGTGTTAATCCCAGATGTTTCCATCAGGGTAAGGTTTTGGGACATTTGGACAAATGGCTTCCCCAAATGGAAATGTCCATCTGTGTTCTTTGCCTGACTCCCAAACCAAGCAGTTGGCATTTTCTCCCTGGATGTATAATTCTGTCCTAGAAGAAGAAGGTGTTTTTTTTTCTCTCCCTTTTCTTTCCTTCCCTCCACTAAACCCTAGCAGAATGCTGCCTGTTTGTTACTGATTATAAATTGCACGGGCCAGCTGAACCTATCATTTGGCATGATTACCATTACCCCATGGTCTGTGTTTATTACTTCAATTGTTACTGCTAATAATAACCAATTTCTGTTTTCATTTTGGGAAGATGATGGAAAACACTAGGGAGCTGCTTCCTTCTACAGAGTTGTCACGTGGCCAATGGCTATGGTAGAGAGAGCCGTTCTAAAGCACACGCTCTGCTTGACTTAATAATTCACACGGCATTCTTTCAGCAATATAGCTTGATGGTCTAGCCCCCGTTTCTTCCGCGAACTGGTTGTACGCTTCCTTCCTTACCTGTGATAAGCTGAGTAAGAACTTTAGTCTGGTCATTGAGTATGTTCACTGTAACATTTCTGGCAGATTTGAAGTACAGTGGATTGCCCTATAATAGGAGCACAAGAGAAAACATGTAAAAATGATGCCAGGCTTCCCAGCAGAAAACAACAGCCCTTGTCTGTAAATAGCTTGTGGATTGGGTAGAGCCCAGGGTGAATCTGGTACTCCTAAGTCTTTGCAAAACCGGACAGTGAAGCATTCTCCACTCTTAGACGAATACCAGGCCTTTATCATGGCACCAAATTGCATCCCCCACCCCAACAACTATTTGTCATTGCAGGAACTCATGAGAGAAACAGGACATATGCCTGCTGACAGAACCATTTATAGTCTCCATTAATGTAGAGTTGGGTCTGGAGTGAGGCTTTCTCCACCTCACCTTAGGATTTTGGAACCTGTCAAGCACTGATAAACCTGTTAGGTTATATGTCTCTGGAATAGGATGCTTCCTGTGGACAGAATATGGAGCACCACCAAGGCTAGACTATATACATACAATCAAAGGATCACAGACTCATATGGATTTAGAACAGGGGACATCTAATTCAACCCCATAATTTTACAGAGAAGGAAACTGAGATCTGGAGAGTTTAAGTGACTTGCCCATAGTCATATATCTAGCAAATGTAAGAGGCAGGATGGAAACCCGGTCTTCCTGACTTCAAGTTTCTGCTTTTTCCCCTATACAACACTGCTTGTTTTTGTGGCCTGTCACTGAGATAGCCCACATGAGCGGTATGGCTACATACTGACCAATACTGCGTGTGTGATACAAGTACTCTGGGCCTTGCCACCTCACCCTTCCTGCCTTGAACTCATAAAAGAACAAGCTCTCACAACAGCAAGAAATTTTATATAAATTTCATAGAAGATACACGATTTCTCCCCTCAGGCACCATAACCCTGACGGAAACCAGTCCAGAAAATTATAAGATAATTTTAGGATAGAGAATATTAGATATGCAGCCAAATGGCAAATACACATGTATTGACACCTTCTATGAGCCCATATTGGACATACTAGGGTTAGTTTATGGAAAGAAATCTATGAATTTGGGAGAAAGCTGTCTTTCTGTGCCTCTTATTCAGGGATGTGATGGTAAATGTTTAACAACCAGCTTTCCAAAAAGTCGCAGAGGACTTTTAAGTTTAATCTGCATTATTACTAATGTTTAGACAATCAAGCCCTGATTTGCAGGGGTTGCCAACTTCTGAGATGTAAATGCTTACACTGAACATTTAAAAATTGGCTCTTGGAAGCCGGTTGGAGCTGGCTCCAGCATAACCCTGCTTATTCCACTTTCAGTATTAACCTGACCTAGACATGGATAGTAATCTGAATGACAGAGGCATCCAGTTGAACAGATTCTTTCTGAGTTCAGGGAATTGCGTCTACTTAGGACACTCACTGCAAGGCTTGAATGATTTAATGGAGAAGTTGAGAAACGATATGTAGGATTTTGAGCCAACTCAACTGTGTAATCACACCTTCATCTAGCATTTCTGTTTCTGGAGCACCTAGAAGGCTCGCTCATTCAGCTGGAAAGACTGCTTACTCGCCATTCAGCACAGCAGTTAGAATTAAGTGACCCAGTTCCTCATTATTCCTTTCATCTCCTTTCCTACCTCCAATAGTCTTGTTGGAGAACAAAATATCCATGAAGACAGAGTCAGCCATTCTACCATACGTCTAAGTGGTGGCTGGTCAATCCATGAAGCCCTCCCCATATTGTGCAGCTAAGTGGTGTAGTGGATAGGATACTAGACTTGGAGTAAGGGAAACCTGAATTCAAATCCCCTACTTTATATATTAACTTTGCTTGTAACTCTGGACAAGTCAACCTCTCTCAGCCTTAGTTTTCTCATCTGTAAAATGGAGATAATAATGGCACTTCCATCACATGGATTAGACAATTCAGCCCATGCAAAAATTTCTGGGTCAGTGAGAAGAAATGGGCTCCTTCTGCTCTTTGTTTTGGACATTAAGATGCATGCAAGTATAAACCAACAGATCTTGATAACTGTCACAAGAGGGGTATAGTCATTAACTACTAAGATAAAGGTGCTATGATGTGGATGTTAGCAACAGCATGCAGAGAAAAAAAAAGTAAAGCATTCTTCTGAGCAAAGATTCATCAACCACTTTTTATCCAGTCATGGGTGCCAATAAGCTATTGGCTAGTTTAACTAGGGACTCCCCTCCAAAAAAGGTTTTTGGATTTATCTAGGAAGGAAGAGATTCTTAGGGGTGGGGTATGGAACAATGCTGCCACCGTAGAGGGAGGGCTTAAGTTGAACAAGCTTGATCTCATTGCTTTTAGATTACTTGACAGAGTCTAAATGCAACATCTGATCTCCATTTATACTTTGGATATTCTAGCAACCAAAACAATTTGCAATGTATCAATTTATATTAGTCCCATGGGGCATTAAAGCACTCAGACTTTAGGGGTGCTTTTATTTATAATGTAGAAGCTCTCCTTTTCCTTTTCCTTAAATCTTACCAAACCTACGTCTTTCTCTCTGACTGGCAATAGCAGGTCATATACCTTTTATTCTTGGGCAACATGAAGAAAGTAGTTGAAGGGAAGAATGTGTCCTCTCTACTTTTAAAGATAAAAGAGAAAAATGTAACTGGAGTCAGAAGACATGAATAAACTAGATATTCTGCTTCTTATTACCTGACTTTGGGTAAGTCATCATACCTCTTTCTATTTCTTGTTTCCTCATCTCCATCCTGAGGTCTTTGAAGGATTTGTGCATCCCTGCTCTTCCACCTTTATTCCCACTGCTTGTCACTGACACAGCTTCCTAGCTTCCTTCTTTCTTCCTTCCTTCCTTCCTTCCTTCCTTCCTTCCTTCCTTCCTTCCTTCCTTCCTTCCTTCCTTCCTTCCTTCCTTCCTTCCTTCCTTCCTTCCTTCCTTTTTTTCCTTCTTTTCTTCCTTCTTTCTCCCCTTTCCATCTCCCCTTTATGTTTTGCCTTTCCCTATAGAGTGGAGCTTCTTGAGAGACTGGCTTGTTTTCTTATTTTGGCATCCATAGCATTTAGTACAGCGTCCAACACACCGTAAGCACTTAATCAATGTTCCATATGACTATCTCATCTGGAAAATAATGATGAAAAACTAAGTGACCTCTCATGATCCTGCAGTCTTACATTTTCGCAAACCCCCAAAACGTCAACAGAATTGTTGAAGATCCATTTACGAGGAGGTGGAGTTAGACTGTAATTTCTACAATCTGCCACTCAATGCAGGCTGGTCTTGATGCCTTTATGAAACTTGAAGTTTTAGCTCTGAAGTCTTGCTAACCAAACCGTTTGTATTTAAAGGGTACTTGGTATCCAGTAGCACTTTCATTCTGAAAATCACGTACGGAACATCAGATCACCTGTCAAGTCACTTGTGCCTGTCAAGGCCAGCACAGGACTTTAAAGGGTCAGTGGTTTTGTTTGTTTGTTTGTTTGCTTATTTTTACTCCCAAGACAAGTGCTGTAGGGAACAAGTTTGCAAAGAGATGATGAGTAATGATATTTGGACTGATTTCTTCTGGGATATGAGGGTGACGGTGCGTAGAGAGAGAAGACGGTTTCATTAGAGTAAATCCTCAAATTGTGTGTGTGTGTGTGTGTGTGTGTGTGTGTGTGTTGCATGTCAGGATGTAGACAGAAAGAATGTCTATGTAAGGTGTAGCAGGCATTGTCACAACCCTGGGTAATAGAAAAAACACTGGATTTGGAGTTGTTAACGATATATTAATAGTTAACATTTATAAACCATAGCTAACATTTATAACCACTAAGTGGTTTACAATTATTATCTCATTTGATCCTCACAACAACCCTGGGAGATAGGTGCTATTATTATCCTCATTTTTATAGATGAAGAAACTGAAGTAAACAGGGGTTAAGTGATTTGCCCAGGGTCACACAGCTATTAAGTGTCTAAGGATGGATTTGAACTCAGGTCTTCTTGATTTCAGGCCCAGTGTTCTAACCCACCTAGATGGCCTAGGTTAGAATCCTGGTTCTGCTCCTTACTATCCATATGACCTTGGGTAGAGACGTTCCAGGTCTCAGTTCATACATCTATGATCTGGGAATGAAAATACCTGCATTTCCTGCTATACAGGGTTTTTGAAAGTAAACTGCAAAGTTTTCTAGCAATGGGACTTCTCCTTGATTGCTATTACAGCTTTTCGTAGCTCTCCTAAGGTAAAGGCCCAGCCAGAGTTCAGGCCTGTTTTCAGTGTTTATTATCATGGGCATGAGTCACATAACATGCTTCTGATATGAGCAGCAGCTCCCCCAGCCCATTCATTTTGAAGTAGGAAGCCAGATGTTTCCCTGGTTCAGGTTAGCACAGATATTTTTAAAAATTGGAAATTGAACATATTTTTATTAGTCTTCTGGGAAAGAGGAAAAGCATTTAATGTAATACTAGCATAGATTTCCATAACTTCCATTAGGAAATTACTTTCAGGCTAAAAACATTCCACCTCCCTTCACCCCACATTGTTTCAGGCAGTATTTAGTAGATTAAAAATATTTTAAGCTGTGAATTAGAATTTAGGAAAGTCTGAGCTTTGAAATATGGATAGAGTGATTAAATGGGGTAAGAGAAATCTGTGTATCCAAGCTGCTGCGAGAGCCAAGATAGTGTAAAAGGAATGGGAGTCAAGAGATCTGGGTTCTAATCCCAGTAATGCCACTGAAATGAGCTGTGTGACCTTGGGCAAGTCATTGCCCATCTCTGTATCTCAGTTTTTTTCTTATATAAAATGAAAATGTTCCATAGGATAATCTCTCTGGCTTCTTCTAGTTCCAGGTCAATGTTCCACAGCAATGGTTCCCAACCCATGGACTCAGGACTTCTGAGGCCAATGGAATAATTACAAGGGATTTATATATGCAAAACAAGTACTGTCATTTTTATCTTTGTCTCCAATAGGGTACTCAATGTGACCCAATGTAGTAAATAAGAAAGTATAACTCTGCAGACTAAATAGTGACTTTTGCACAGATGTATTATTATTTTTTTAAATGT